CACTGGAGGTACCTTAGATTCTCACAGTGCACCTGCCTGGAAGACAGGTAACAGGGAAGGAAAAGCAGGTGGATGGCACCCAACGAAGGAAGACAGGTGCTGTGTGGGCACCACTGTCCAGGGCCATTGTGCGAAGTCTCTCTGCAGCAGTGTGCGTCTGCCCCTGCACAGCCCAGGAAACCTTCGCTGGGAAGGGGTGCAGCCTGGCTAGCTCCTGCCAGAGGGGCTTGGCCAGCTTAGCCAGAAAGAACCCCTCCCTGGAGGCCCTGGTTCTTCTCTTGCTTGGTGAGGGCCTTGCTGGCTCCTCATGTGCTCCAACTCAAGTCGGCATCCCTGTAAAGATCTGAGAGCACACTACACCTTCCTCATGCAATGGCCATAGCATGGCTTCTGAGGGAGGGCAACCGCCACCGCGTTTCCTGCCAGACTCCCAAAGGGTGATCCCAGTGCAGGCATGCCTGACTCTGAGGCACCCAGGCAACCATGAATTTGGGGAGAAGTTATGCCGTTTCTTTGTAAATGGGATTTTATGAATCATGTAATTGCCTGATACTATCCAACGATTTTGCCTGACTCCGCTGATTGGATTTCAGGTAGTAAAGCTCGTCCTTCCACGGCTGTCCCCTCTCATCAATAGAGCACATACCTCTCTGCCTTGGGAAGACTGTCGCTGCAAAGCACAGCCCTGCGGTTTGGCTTTCCCAACCACTCACTGCTTTTGCTCACATTCCCCAGAGGGACCCAGATGTTTAAGACCAACAGGCCCCTCAAATGAGGGGCTGGACCTCAAATGAGGGGCTGGGTACTGGGACCGCTTCCCAATGCCCTAATTGTGATGGTTAGGTTTTGTGCCAACTTGGCTACACCAGTAACTTCTGATGGATGGGGTTCAACTCATCAACCAAGAGGCCTGGGGACGCCTCTGTGGGGGTGTGCCCGTTTTATAAGAGAGGCTGTGGAGAACTGGTCTCCCTCTCGCCCCTCTTTTATTTCCTGCTTGCTGACTCCTGTGTCTGGCTTCTGGGCTTGGTAGCTCATGTGGCCTGCCGACATTGGGAGCTGTCAGCACTCTGCCATGTTCCTGCCAACCTTGGATCCACAGGACTCTGCACCCTCCGACCTGTGATCTCCCAGCTTCCTGCTTCGAAGTCCTTCTTCCTCAGCCAGCAGCTGTGTACATCTGGAGGGGCTTCCAGCTGGCATCCGACCCACGGACCCGAGTTAGACTGGGCTGAGCTGCTTCATTGATATAAAGATCTTTCTTACACGTTGATGAGTGTCACTGGTTTTGTTTTTCTAGACAGCCCAACCTCACCCACTGACCTTAGGAGCGCATAGTAGGGTTGCACTTTCCCACGTGTGCTGTGGCTGGTGAAACGGAAACAGAGCAGGGCACTTCTGGGCAGAAGCCTTTAGAGTCAACATGTAATTGATACCCCCACCTCCTCCCTGTCCTCTGCCACAAGTCACCTGCCATGTTCCAGAGAGGGGAGGCTCTGTCAGCCCCAGTCCTACAACACAGTGTAGGACCCTCACCAACTAGTGAGGAGCATGCTGTGTGTTTGAGAAGTAAAGCCTTCATGTTTGAATGCACGCAATAGATTCCGTGGCTGAGAAGTTTCAGCCGTACCCAGCCCAAGGCCGCAGGACTCGCATTTACTGAGCATCTACTGAGAGTACTGAGAGCGGGCAGTCTATCCACTACTGCCACGTGCTGAACTCCCATCACTAGAAAAGGAAAATCACGAAGATCCAGGCGGGAGCGACTCATTCCTCATGCAGGTGACGTCGAAGGAAGCCTCAGAGGGTTTTAATCTATTCCTAATGAGCCAACATGCCAAGTGCCCATTTCCTACTAGCAATGGATCTAAACTCTTGTTTGAACTC